AGATTATTAGAATAAGACAGGTACAAGATCATGAGCATATAAAATAATCATCAATGAGCTTCCTTATCACTTGATCTGTTGTGGGTAATATTTCTTACAATTGTTAATGTCCCTATGTTTCTTAAGACTTGAAATTTCTCTCGTCTTTCAATTATTGTAGGGAAAAAGCTAAATTAATAAACTTTTTTTCTCTATAGTAAAATACAAATGAAAAATATGTTAATGTTCAAAAAGAATAGATGAAAGACAACGATGCGTAAATGAAAGCTTGACATGGCAGATTTTTCATAACGACCATTGATATAAACCAATGCAAATAGTTGTTCTGATATTTTTTAATGAGCTTTTCAGAAGAATAAAATAGAACTGAAGCTTCAACTGATCTATCACAGACTGTCACATGTCATCAGCGATTTCAACGACAACAGTAAAAAAGACCTCATTACTGCTGACACTATTGTTATACTTCTTACATCTAGCAATGTAGATTTTACAGTACAAGTAATGTTTTCGACTGGAACTCGTACTCAGGTACTATCGATTATTTACATAGAAATCACAAAGAGGAACTTGGAATTGTCAATATGACTCATGATATACTTTATCGATTATAGTAATGAAAATGTCGCAGCACAAAAAAAATACCATCTATTGGTTCTCATTCATAAACCATCTAAATGACGACAATCAAAAGAATATCTTTGGCACTAGTATTGACAGTAATATTAGATGTACTGTAATAAACACTTACCTAATGTAGCCATAGCAAAATATCTTCAAGATATTTCTTTGTACTTTGCTTCATTGTTCAATGAATGGATTTTTCATAGCTTATTTGTCTGTGATTTTGAACATCTATATTTAATAACACATGGGAAAAATGTTAAGTTTTGAATACTAGTAACAGTAGATTTTGTTTTTACAATTTTTGTACCGTAATATAATCCAAAATATTGAACATTGACTGAGCGTAGATCAAGAATTAAAACTTTTTCATATATTAAATATTGTTTCCAGTGCATATCCTTTTTGTTAGATCTCACAAATAGTAATCAAGCCAAAAATAAGCATTTTGTGTCTTCTTAATTTAGAAAAAAAAATAAGATAAATTGAAGAAAAACTATACCTCATACTTATCTCAATATTTTTGTTAACAGTCTCTTTTCCAGTCGTATGTTAGATAAATGATCTTTTTTTTTTTTTTACATATTTGAAAATATTGATATTAATGAACAACAAAATGTTCTCATTCAAAATCATATATACATTCTTTTGGCATATAATCAGAATACGCTAATAGTTAATTGAATGGAAATCACTCATTGTAGAATCGTTAATGGAAAGGGTAAGATTGAGAGTATATGCACACAGGCAACTTCATTCATGCACCCTCATTGAGTAAAGTATAGTATGGTTTTGAACGGTCGCACATCTTCACGTATTCATGCACATGTAAAAGTGCCATTTAATAAATTAATTTTATAAGTGTACTGATCACTAATATTTGTTACTGAATTCACATATGAGACAAAATTTGATAGAAATATTATACTCTTTCTATTGAAATAAAAATGAGTAATATTCTTTATTTTATTACCTGTGCAACTCATCAGGTATTATTTATGATTCTCATGTCTTCGTCATTTTTTCTTAAGTTGGTTTTTTCACTTCCTCGGTGAGTTATCAAGGATGAATAATACCTTTTTTTTTCATAATAAACCTCAATGAATAGAAAAGAATGTAAAAAAGTCCTTTTAAACTATTGTTTTCTTGCATTATATATGATTGAGTGTTGTGTTGTCTCCTGGTATACCAATATTCTATGACAACATCAGTTCATAAGCTTAGATCAATCGAACTAATGAGTTGATGAGTAGGGAGCTGCAGGTTCATGTTTTTGTCAACTTGGACCCAGTCGACTTCTTTGTATACATAAACAACCGACGAATCAAGGTTTTAGCTATTTATAAGCTACTCTCAGTAAAGAAAAAATTTAACGTACAGTTGTTTTCTGTTGTTCACATTTCCATCATTCGATACTTATTTAATTTAAAGTTTTCGTTGGACTGAAAAGAGCATTATGTTACAAACAAAAAAGGAAGGGAATTGAACAGCTAATTGATAAACAAAATTTGTCAAACCAATAGTCACACTACCATCTTCAGCTGTATAGAATAGCTTTAGTTGTATTTATGTGAACGAGATTAAGGGAGTAGGGAGTTGCGTGCTCACGTATTTGTAGACCCGAAGTTCTCTACTGCTGAAATAATTTCTTTATACAGCGATCAAGCTCATTGTACATTCTCTGATAAGATATAGATCGACTTAAAGTTACCAAACTGCATATAACCTATCGGGAAGTAACCCGGACTAATATTTGCAACACTTTGAGCTTAACCATACAGTTGAGAACGTTAGATGTAGTAACAGAAGTATAGACAAATTTGAAGACTCAATGTTAGAGAAAGTTTCATGAACTCGTCTAAAGTTCATTGAAAATGTTCAAAACCTAAACTTTTCTACTCAATATTAATTACACTCAAAAGATTCAAAATAACGCCCTGAGGCAGCCGGAAAAAAATTACAACCATCACTGTTAGGTAGCTTCTACAAAGTTCTAGATAACAGGTTACTCTTAGGCTGGCTTTTCAGTTTGTAAGTATTTCCGAATTGTTATATTTTAAATTAAGACATAGTAATATATCATGACAATAATCAATGATTATGTTTTTTATTTTGAGGAACATCAAAGTTAATATTCATATAATACACAGAAAAAAAGAATTCTTTATACAATCATTATTAATTCGTTTGATCTAAGTTAATATCAGATTGAAAAAGATATTTTCGAAATTTCAGAATAACACGCACTGGTTCTATTGATTCATCATCATTTTTCATTATTAATTCTTTTGTTTCAGACGCAAGACCATCTAAAAACAAATATTATCAAATAGAGAATATTATATATATATATTTTTTGTCAATACATACTTGGTATACAAATTTTGAATTTTCCAGGTGGACAACCTTTAGCTGTTTCAATATAACCTTGTTCACCTGTACTTAATTGTACATTAAAATTAATAAATATTTCAATATTTGTATCAGGTTTAAATAAATCACGTGCTAATAAAGTATTTGTATCAAGTACACGATCAATAAAACCAAATTTTTCAACAAGTAATTCAACAATTGATTGTTGTTGTTCATTAGTTTTTTTATTTTTTTCTTCAGCTTTTTCAGCACGTATTTTAGCCATTGTATATAATGATACATAACTATCACGTTCTAGTAAAACATTTTCTAATCGTTCTTGCATCTATTTAAAAAAATTAATAGAATATATCATGAATTATTCATTATAGGATTTTACTTCGAGTAATTCTTGATTGATATCAAGATTTTTCATTTGTGCTCGTAATTGATCATTATTTTTTTTTAATGTTAAATATGTTGATCGAAATAATTCCATTGTTTCAGCATATTTTTCAAATGATTTATCATTAGTAAAATAACGTTTCTATACAAGTAGAACATTTATATGAATTAAAAATGAAAATACAAAAAAAAAATTTCTCTATACATTCATCTCATCAAAAAATGCTTCACTTGTCATTTGTTGTCCATCTTTAAAAAGTGTTGATGGTGCTAATGTATGCGGTACTTGTGCTTAATGACAAAAAAAGCAAAGATTATTCTTTTTTCAAATGGATAAAAACTCTTTTTTTTTATAATTACTTAATAATAATTGATTATCTGAAACAATTGATTGAATACGTTGTTTAAATTCATTTGTAATTTCATCAACTGTAGAAGTTATTTGTTGTTCAACATTACGCAATCGTTCAATATTTGCTATTTCATTAAGAGCATAAGCCTGGAAATTAATATAAATGTCGATAATAAACAAGCGAAAGAAAAGATTTTTACCTCCATTCGATCATTTGATAAACGTAGTTTTTGATCCCATAATTGTAGAATACTTGTATTCTTTTCATTAATTAATACTTGTTTTCGTTTGATTGATAAAGGTGTAGATGGTTCATTGTTTTCCTATACAAAAAGTAGTATTAATTCTCAAGCACGATTCAACTTGGAGACGATTAATTCTGTTCTACTTCCAGCTGCACACAATATTGAATATATAGCATTGATTGGAGCTCATCTGGTTGGTCTCAATCTGAACATTATGAACTAGATGGACTCTAGTCGTCAGAGAAATGTGTAGAGCCGGTTAGTCACTCAATACAACAAAAAACAGAAATGTCTCTTGTGTCTTCGACGTGATTATTTAATTCCGATTAGAAAATATTCATCCAGAGTATTTGACTACGGTTCAACCTAGTCTGGATCTTAAAAATTTAGACCGGACGGGCTCTACCATTAACAAAAAACAATTCATCTTTATTTTTATAGAACAGAACAAATAGGTCTGCTTCAAATTAATTATTAATCTAGATCGAATAAATTTCATCAGAATTATTTAAGTGAATCGATGTCTATCAAACTATTTATAATTGAAAATATGTTGCTCGAAACGTACTTTTCCGACAATAGAACTGATCGTTGGATGTGGAGATGGTGCTAGTACAATATCCGATTTTAATTGCTGTATTGGTTGCATTTTTTTCGTTTTAGAGACAAAAAAAGCCGGTCAAAAAATTATGCTGCAAGAAGACAATGTATCATTGTTTCTTTGTTTCACGCTTTTTCATCTCCTTTTTTTCAAATATTTTAATTTATTTCTATCACGAATATATTAAAATTTCATACGAATTTAAAATTAAGGGAAAGTTCTAGAAAAAATCTAAGTGCATAAATGCATTAATATCTTAGAGCCCTCTTTCTTCACATCTAAGTCCATGAATTACCCTAAGGCATATTTATTATTGTTGTTCCTTTTTTCCAGATCTTTGTTCCGGGATACTCAAGTAGCCATCAAGTGTCTAATATTCTTTTTCCTATATATAAAATCTATTTAATTAACCAGCAAAATAATGATCAATTCACCTCCAGGTTCCTATAGCGGTGGTGGTTCTCGTCGAACACGTTATTCACGTTCACCATCTGATAATGCACCACCATCAAAACGTTCTAAACCGTCAAATTCAAATGATCCTTATGATCGTAATCATGGTAGTGGATCTGATCAATCTCGTGTTTATACATCAATATGTGTAAAAAATATTAATCCGAAAATATCAGATTTAGGTAAACATAAGAAACGAGTGATATTTTGATTATTTTATTTATTTATTTTTCTTTATAATAGAAATTCGAGATTTGTGTAATAAAAAATTTTCCAAATATGGTTCGAATTCAGTTAAAGTATATCATAGAAATCAAGAACGTGTAGCATTTATTAATTTTACAAATTGTGAAGATGCACGAAAAGCTCGACATGCTAAAACAGGTCTTGTTTGGGAAAATATGCAAGTTCTTTTAGAACCGTAAGAAGTTTTTCTTAATTTATCAAATATAATTATATATATATTTATTAATCTAGAGTTTATTATCGTAAAACAGTTCCAGCTGAGCAACCTATTAAACCTGATAGTTCTCGAGAACGTTCTCCACCAAATCGACGACGTCGTCGTCCAACACCACCATGTCCTTCACCATCACCACCACCACCACCACCACCAGTTAGTTCTCATCATGGTTCATCATCACGACATCAACGTACAAAATCTCCTTCTCGTTCATCACGTCAAGCACGTCGACAATATTCACCATATATACCATTACCACCTGATTTAGTTAATTTTGTTAAAAAAAAATCTAGTCGGCAACGAGAACATTCATCATCACCAACACCACCACCTGTTCGTCGTCATCATCATAAACAACAACGTAGTCCGACTCCAAATAATCATCGAACACCATCACCATCATCACCAAATCGAACTAATTTGGATAATGAATCTAGTACTCAACATGAACCAACACGTACTTTATTAATTGAAAACCTTGAACGAAATATAACAGAATCAAAATTAGAAGAAATATTTGGTCGTTATGGAACAATTAAAGAAAGTAAAATATATATTTATTTAACAAAGAAAATTTATTAGATCAAGTTTCATTTAGTTGATCTGAGAAAATCATCATCAAAACGTGTTTATGCATTTATTCAATATGAAAATGTTGATATGGCATATGAAGCACGTCGAGCTATGGATGGTCAATCAGTTGGAAAAGTCAATTGTAAAATTAACTATGGTGCGTAAATGATTATGCATCTTTTGTTTCGTTTTCATTTTAATTCCTTTCTTTATTGAATGGCTTTTTAAACAAAAACGAAACAAATTCACTTATTCTGTTTTGTTTTGCCTAGTTCTTTTTTTATATGGAGATTGTGTTTATTTGCTTCATTATATGCTTATATTCGTCCCTCTTTTGTTCTTTTCTCATATTAATGTTGATTGATCTTGTCGTTTTCGAGATTCTGACATAAATTTTATATTGATTGTGTTAAACGCAAAAAGTTAATATGGAGTTTTATATAATGATGATATATATTTGAGAGATTGATATAGATATATAATTATTTGTATCGAAAGAAAAAAAAAAAAACTATATATACACATTTTAAAACTTATAAATCATCATGTCATTTACAGATTATTATTCATTGATAAAATAAAAATGTATGTATGAATAATCTATGTGTATGTCAAGTGGGATTGAGGTGATAGTTTTGGTTATAAAATTTTTTATTTGATAATGGTACTATATAATGTGATTCATTTATTTAAGTATATATATATATATAGAAATGGAGATTGAGTTTCATTAATATAATTCTACCTCTCTATCATACTCGTTGTTCCTTGCTCTTGTTCGACAATTCTGTTGCTTTAATTCTTGCATTCTTCTATTTATCCATTTCTTTGATATGATACTTTTGATATAAAAATAAGATAATGATGATGGATTGATTCATTGGTGAAAGATATTTTCTCTATTGAATTTCGGCTTATATCTTTTACTATACATTCATAGATGACAGAAATCTTCTCTTTTTTCAGTTCAACAAGATCAAAATCATCATTGATTATATATGTATTAACATTAATAATTATTCGAGAGTTTACAAAAAATTCTTTCTTTCTCTTTACTTATAAATACGCATATATTTAATGGATTATATCACGAAGAAAATGTTTATTGGATATCTCCATATGTATTATATATATTTTTTCAGGCAAAATTGTACCAACTAAACATCTTTGGGTTGGAAATATATCCTCAGATATAAAACGTCGTGATCTTGAACATGTATTTTCACGTTACGGGCAAATTAAAACACTTGATTATTCAACGGGTGATCCAACAGCTATTATTACCTATAGTGATATTGAAGACGCAATTAAAGCACGTACAAAACTTAATGGTACAATAAAAATTGTTGATGGACGAGTAGTACGTAGTGAATCTGATGTATCACCATCATCACGTCGTGGTAAGCAAATATGATTAGAAAAGATTATATTGTATTATTAATTTTGTGAAACACAATCTAAAAAGGAGTGTTGAAGTATTGAAATAAATATTTGAACCCTCCTTCTAACAGGCACTAGTTAGAGACAATCATAGACCGTAATAGACGCTAATTAAAGACTATAACTGACCGTGACATATACTAATCAGAGACCATAACGAACCGTGATCTACGTTCAGTTCATACAATTAGAAGATCGAAATCAGGTGATTTCCCTCTCCTAAATGTTTGTTGCGTTCTACATTTCTCGCTGGACGCTTTCTCTTATGGATAGCTAATATCTTTAATAGTTCGGTGAAACAGATTGTCTATGTATAAGCGAAGTTCCACTTACAATTGTTTTTGAAGAAAATCAATTATTTTCTTTCAAAGAGAAACTAAATCAGGTTATATTTTGAAGAGTAGAGAATTAAAAAAACAGACCATAAGATAAATGTCAAAAGTATAGTTTGATTGTCAACATATCTAAAATGCATTTAAGAGATACTACCAAAAATTATGTGTGAAATTCAACTTGAGATATCAATAGTAACTTCAAACGTTGTTTTACTGAACATACTTCAACCAAATAAATTATTAGATATTCAAGGAATATCTTATCTTAAAATATATAAATTTTCAAAAGTTTCCATAAAATATTGATATTGTTTACTTTTTCGGATAGGATGCTGACAACACTTTCGCAGAATACCATAGGTAAACGTACGATCAATTTTTAGAGAAATAATAAAGTTAAAAAAGGATCTCTTTTGTTCCTCTCTCTAAAATAGTAGAGAGTGTGAGTAAAAAGAAGAAAAACACTCACACTCACACCTATTACTCACATCCATATTAAAATATACATGAATAAATATGATGAGAAATAATAGATAAAGCTCTATACACCTATTAAAAAGAACCTTACTTTTAAAACTATCGATGTGGACAGTTTTTGTGTGTAGTGAAAATATATGTTTTCATCGATCACAAATTTCTTGACGAATTTACTAGCACGAGAATTTTAGCGGCCAAGGAAATGTGTTGACGATTGATTACAAGAGTGTCAAAAATTTTCAGTTGAGAATATATTTTTCTGAATAAAAAACACTAATAAATGAATAGTTTCTCTGTATCTATGGGAGACTTTCTTGCATTACCTTTTCCCATTTTAAATATAACCAAATGAACGGTATACCTACGCCAGTCAGAGACCATCATTGATCGCAACAGATGAAGATATACGATAACAGACTGTATATGAATAAAGCCTCGTTATAATATATGAACTACTTATTTCATTTCTGGAGAAGGATGGTTAAGAAATGTATTCCAATATAGATAAAATAATAAAATAATCTTCTTATGATTGACCACAGCATAAATGTCATGTTCAATATTTTAATCTCATAGACATTGTGAGAATAATTATTTTTTTTTCTTAGGTTTTCGTATTGATTATCTTGATCGTCCAACTTCTCGACGTTTTGTTATTGTTCGGCCGCAAAAAAAATCATCGAATAGACGTGAATCGCGTTCTTCATCTCGTTCAAAATCACGTAATAAATCTCCTGCATCCCCGAAACATGATCGTACACGTTCTAGATCAAATAATAATAATAATGATGAAGAAATTAAAGATAATTTAACTGAAAATCTTAAAACTGAAACACATTCACGTTCACCAACACCATCATCATCACCACCACCGCCACCGCCACCACCACCACCAATATTAAATACTATAAAACAACGACGTTCAACAGATCGTAGTCAAAGTTCACCATTAACGAACTTAGCTCCTATTGCTGGACGAACATTTTATGGTGCACTAGGTTCGTATTTATCACCAAATGATACAGAAAATGTGAATAATCTAAATGAATTAATGATTCTTTGTGAACAATTAAATGCATCAGCAACAAAAAGTAATACTGCTTTAGCTACTGTTTATCCTGTTCAATTTATACTTAAATCTCATGCTTATGATGCACGTATGCATTTTCTTGCTGGAAGTCCAACATTGGCTAGTATTTTACTTGGTATTTATTTGTTGGTTTTTTTTTTGTTTAGAAATATTTTATATATTTGTTTAATTAGGTCAACCAGGTGATTTAATTGCAGCTAAAACTGAATTAAAAATAACCCAACGACTTCGTCTTGATCAACATAAACTTGAAGATTTAGAACGAAAACTTCGTAACAGTGTTACAAATGCATTAGCTATAACAGGAAATAATTCTCTTACGAATATAAATGGTCAATCATTAAATGGTTTACCATCAAGTAATAGTCGAAAACAATTAACACTTGCAAATCAAACAAAATTTGCAATACTTATTGCATCACCTAAAACCTATAATTTAACTGAATTGTTAAATTCAATTGAACAACAAATATCAAGTGGAAAAGTCAAAAATGAAATGACTTCACCATCACATTCGAATGAAATTGATAAAAAACAGCTTGAAATAAAAAAAGAAAAACTACATAATGATAATGATAATACCGATAATGATGATGATTTATTACTTTCTTGTTTGATTTCTTATTTAATTGAGTAAGTATAAAGTAAAAGAAAATTTCATTAAAACATTGACATTATCTTGAAAAACTTCAAATACAAAAATCAGAATAAAAAATTTATAAAACAGATTTATGTTTTATTCAGTTTCCGTATATCTTCTTACTTAAAAAAGTACAGCTGAGTTATTCAGATTAAGTTCGGACGACTATCGGCTCGAATATTATCTTCCGATTGTCAATTAGAATAGATCAATCGGAAACAATTTGAATTTTATTTTGATTCCGTTCTATAGAACTTGAACTATGTTGTTTGTTTTTGTTTATAGAAAAGAAGCAGCTGGTGTTATATCAGTGCCATTTCATCCAACTTATCAGAGTGATCATGAACATTCATCAAAACAAGAAACAGCTGTAATACATATATTTCCTTCGTGTCAATTTAGTAAAAAAATGTTAAAAATAATTTGTCCATCAATTCATTTTTCAAATACAACAACAGCAGTTAATGATGAACATTTAATGGTTGTTATTATACATAATGATTGAACGACGAATATATTTTTCATAACAAACAGTATATTAATATGATTTAATCAATCTTTTCTTCTTTCATAGAACATTGAAATAGGAAAAAAAAATTTCTTTTTACTGTGATGTTTCAGCAAAACTTTAAACAGTCGATCCAAGTATTTCTTCCATTTAACCGAAAAAAA